AAGATTGTATCTTAAACCCTCCACATAGTGTACATTATTTATCGAATTATCAGCCGATCTCCCTATTCTGCCAATACCAAGAATAGACCCCTTCTTTCCACCACCAAATGACACACCACCACCTTGGTGTGCTTCCAAAGAGAGGAAGTTTGAAGTGTCTCCCGTCATGTGCCTTGAGCATCCGCTGTCCATGTACCAGCACTGACTCCTTCCTCTCTTCTGCATAGAAATCATTTGTTAGATTTAGGAACCCACTTCAGACAGAGTTCCCAGTAATCATTAAGAGGTCTGATAAGAAACCTTTCTGTCCAGTGAGGCATGAAGTTTTTTTTGAAACAATACTGGGGATCAGGTCCCTTATGTCTCCTTTTAGCATCATTTTCAGATCTAACAAATCTCTCATGCCTCTCCTTAGCTTTTCTCAGAATCTCACAATTTTCTTTGAGATGACCATTTCGACCACAGTGAGTACATAGAAGGTTGTCAGATATAGACACATATTTACTATGGGGATTATAGGGGGGCTCTAATGGTCTGCATCCCAACCCTTTCTTTCCATTGAAACTTTGATTGGACATATTAGAAAGTATCTTAGAGGAGTCGGTCCATTTAAGGGAGTGACTTAATTCTTCCTTGACCTTACTCAAATCTTTTCTTAGTTGAGAATTTATTTCAAGAGAAGCGACTAACTTGGACTCAGAATTTTTTAGCTTTTCTTCCAGTTCTTCCTCAAAAATACTAAGCTTTCTCTTCCCACCTACTGAGTTTCCAGGGTCCTTCTCAGATGTTATGTTGCAAGTCTCTAGAATACCTATCCCTTCACTAATTTCAGCAACTTGAGACATGAGAGCAGAGTTCCTGTCTTCACACAGACTTAATTTTTTATTCAATATTAAGTTTTCAGTGGTTCGTTCATCAACACAATCAATGAGCAGAGCAGCAAGTTTCCTTAAATTTTCTATAGGCAGATTATCTAGATCATCTTTAAGATCAAAAAGAGTTACCTCATCTGAATCCTCTTCATCATCAGAATTTGCCATTAAGGAGGAAATAGAGTTGAAAATGCTTTCGTTATCCTCAATGGCCATCATTGAGACATCCTCATGATTTTCTTCATCTTCTTCTGATTCACTTGAGTCATTTCCCCACACAGCAAAGGCATTTCTCACCATCTGATCTGCATGTGCCTTCCTTCGAGCATAGTCTAGGACCAGGTCCCTCTTGCGAGGTCTGGTGTCATGAGTTTCCTGCTTTGCACTGGGGCAGTTCCTCATGAAGTGTCCAGGCTTACCACACTTATGGCATAGATCATTTGCAGTAGTAGTTCTGCCGGAAGGGGTTTTCTTTTAGAAGCCTCCATGCTTCTTTAAGATCTTCTGAAATCTTCTAGTGACATATGGACTTCTCCTTCTTTCCTTCCTTCACAGTTGTCCCCTGTTTCTTGTTCATCTCATAGGTCTGGAGGTTCCCAATTAGTTCGTCCATAGAAAGTGTCATTAGATCTTTGGCTTTTGTTATGGCATCCACCTTGCTTTCCCAAGATTTTGGAAGCACCTTGAGAATCTTGCGAATTTGCTTACGGACAGGAATAGGCTCACCCAACCCTCTCAGCTCGTTAGTGATAGAGGTGAATCTTGAATTCATCTCAAATATGGATTCCCCTTCCTTCATACTGAAGTTTTCATACTGAGTGGTAAGCATATCAACTTTAGATTCTTTTACTCGTTGAGTTCCTTCATGGGTTGTTTGAAGACAGTCCCATATTTCCTTGGCAGTTTCACAGGCAGAAATTCTGTTGTACTCATCTGCTCCAATTCCGCACACTAAAATCTTCTTTGCTTTGTAGTTCTTTTCTATCTTTTTCCTATCTGCCTCGTTGTAGTCCTTTCTGGTTTTGACAACAGTTGTGGTAAGCTCTCCATCCTTCACTTCCATTGTAGGAACATATGGACCATCAAGGATGATGTCCCATAGCTCAGAATCCTCAGCGTTGATGTAGTCGTGCATTCGATTTTTCCACCAGCCATAATATTGTCCATTAAAACACGGTGGTCTGGTAGAAGATTGTCCTTCCTCCATATTGGGTGGAGCAGCCATTCCGTCAGGATCTTTCCTTTTCTTGGTGTTAACCAGAGAGAAAAGACGTAGCTCTGATACCACTTGTTGGAATGTATGCGTCCACATTTTCTATGGGACCAGGTCCTCAGCACAGTTACACTAACATAAAATAAACAAAGTGCTGAAAGTAAAGATTGCACAACAGCTTTACGTGAAAACCTCTTTACTCAAGGGAGTAAAACCACGACCTGGCCTGCCAGGACTTTTCAAAACTTCTTTCACTGATCTTCTCCAAGCAAAAAGCAAAAGCAAGTTTACAAACCGGGATTAACCTACTAATCCCAACTCTAAGCAATACCTCCTATTACTTAGATGAGCCAGAGCAGACACAGTACTGCTCACTATACTAATCCTAACTGATTAATATAGACCTTTTAGAGTAAGAACCTAAGTTACCTTAACCTAGTTATTACAATGATTCAAACGAGTTTGAAAACATTTCTTTTACAAGAAAAAGCTGATCTTACAATATCAGAACTATTACAAGCAAACAAAACAACAACTGATGCAAGAAGCTCTTGAAGCAATCGATCAAATCCCTTGCTGTTCTCTTAAAGCTTAGAAGTTTCTTACACTTTGAATGAATGAATGAATAATATGTTGTCCTTTGTTTAGTATATACCATAAAAAGTTATTACCAAACGTACAAGCAACCTCCTTTCTTCTGATTGGTGAAGTACTCTGCAGCTTCACCAACTCTCTGGCGCAGACAGCTTTTACAGCTGTACCACACTTTGACACTGGACGAGCATACTCTGCAGAGGACCAGGTCCCTGCACTTGTGAGGAGATCATCAAAACACCAAAAGGCATAAGCTCTTATCACAACATATGGCCAGAATTACAAGGGCACGACTAATGTTATGGCATGCACTAAACCTTCGAAAGGTAAGACACCACTCTATCCATACTAGCATTCTACCCTAATACACAATCTCCACTCTTTCCTATTTAAAGTCATGTCCTAGGTAATATGGAGTTATGTCATCTCGTATCTAATTACTTCTCCCCAATACTTTTTTGGTCTAACCCTACCTCTCCACGTCATCCAACCTATCGCACCTCTTCTTTGACGTGTCTCCTCAACACATGCTTAAACCATCTCAATATCGCTTACCTCATCTTAGCTTGTCCGCCATAGAGGTCACTCTCACCATCTCTTGAATGACCTCATTCCTAATCTTGTCACTCCTTGTATGTCCACACATCTACCTCAACATCCTGATCTCCGCAACATGCATTTTCTGAACATGTCAATTCTTGAGTGACCAACACTCCACCCCATACAATAAGAATAGTCTAACCATCACTTTGTAGAACTTATTTTTTAAAGTTTAGGTGGTACCTTCTTATCACACAAGACTCCGAAGGCAAGCCTTCATTTCATCCAAGAGATGATACCACACTCGAACCAACTAGAGATATTAGTACAAAAACAAAATAATTAATAAGTAAGAATATAACTAGCCAAATAGAAATATTAACTTGTAATATCTATATACTTTGGTTTAAGTAGATTTTGAGTTAGAATTCCTTTTGTAATTTACTTAATTCTAGTATTCTACTTTATTTTTGTTTTTTAATTATTTCTTATTTGGCTTACGAGCTGGTCCAACCCACATTGCTCAAGCCCCACATAAAGTTGGCAATTCAGCCTTAGGAATAACATAAATCTAGAGTTTTGGAAACGTTGAAGGTTCAGACTTTGGAAATGGTGGAAACTCCGGCTTTGGGAATTCTGGCAATTTAGGCTTTGACAAAGTTGATAGCTTAAGTTTCGGAATTTCAAGGAATTCAAGCTTTGGTAAATTTGGGATTTCAGGTAAATGTGACCTACCCAATATTTAAGTTATTGGAACTGTTTTTGTAGAATAAATATTTCTAGTGGCAACCATTATCACCACAATAAAAGTCTCTAGTGGCGTCCTTAAGAAGTCGTCATAAATAACATTTAGTTTTGGAACTACTTGCCAGTTGCCAAAGCGCTCAGGTTGCTGCTAAAATGATTTTGTTTCGACTTTTTGGGCTTCAGTTGCGATTAGTCGCCACTGAAAGCTCAATTTTCTAGTAGTTGCATCAATCATGAATGGATTTCTATAGTCAAAGCATTAGATGATAGCTCACACAATAGGAAATCCCTCTTCTATTGCTCTTGATAGAAATTAGCATTGGCATGGACAAGGTCCCCTCTCTAGTTCTAATACAAAACATGTTTATAATTAATCTCAACATAAAAATTTGCAAAAGAGATATTGCGTTTGGTTGGGGTGGGTGGAGGTGTAGGCATAATTTCCTTTAAAAATAAGTAGTTACGCGTAGGGCACTAAAAATTATCGTTAAATCTATTTACAATTTTTTTAATTTAATTAAAAGTATTTTCACATAAAAAGGATAAATGACGGAAATAAATAAAGGGATAATTCAAAGTTATGTTCTAGGAAGAACATTTTAGAGAGTACAGAAAGATAGAAAAGGTAAACTGTAAAGTGATTGGTCAAATTAAAAGTGCTTATAAACTGTAAAACCATAAATTAAAAATGACCAACTTATGGTTATTTTGGATTATAAAGAGTTATAAGCACTTTTAGTGTTTGTCAACTATATGCTAAGCTTAAAAATATGCCTATGAACTAGGTTGAACCACTTAGAAACTTAACCTAGTACCTTCTTAATATAAAAATAGATAATAGTATTTTTCTGTACTAATGGTGTGTAGTTACATGCACACACCTAATTATTATGTATATGCTTTAACCAAAACAAAAAAACAAAAAAATTATGTATAGGCATAAAAAAAAATACGAAATTTACAGTCTAAAGTCTAGACAAATTGACATTGCCCAACTATAAAAGGGCAGAGCTACTCATGTAATGATTAACCACATACTTATTATTATAACTTTGTGATATATCATAGAAGAAAAATGAGTCTTCAAGGAAAGTTGATTTCTGAGATAAATATCAAATGTGATGGAGATGTGTTTCATGAAATAATTAAGTACAAACCACATGATATCTTCCGTATATGCTCTGATAAGATACAAAATATGGATATTCATGAAGGTGAATTAGGCAATATTGGCTCTGTTAAGTCCTGGAAATTCACCCATGGTAAATCCCTATTATATTTGGTTTCAATATTTATTTTTGTAGGTTCGTTTTTCTTGTTTAAATTGTAAGTAATTTATAGGAGATCATTTCATCGAAAAAAGTTTAGACATCTAGCTCAAATTTATCCGTTCATTAATTTGATCCAACATTTTTATTAATTCAAACGGTTTTTAACCCATTCAGATTCAATTCATTTCACTTGATCATTTAAAAAGCAAAATTAGTAGTATGCAATATTTACTCTATTTGTTTGCAGGTGGAAAAGAGATTGTTGTAAAGGAAGTAATTGAAGAAATAGATGATGAAAAGAAGTTGATTAAAAAAAAGGTAATTGAAGGTGATTTGTTGGATTATTATAAATCATTTTACGTCACTATTCAGGTTGAGATAAAGGGTGAAAATAACTTAGTTACTTGGATCATGGAATATGAAAAGAAGAATACGAATGTGCCAGATCCACACACATATATGGAATTATGCCTCAGTGTCACTAAAGATATTGGACTCACAATCTCAAGTGATGCATAAATATTATTATTATTATTATTATTATTATTATTATTATTATTATTATTATTATTATTATTATTATTATTATTATTATTATTATTATTATATATGTACTTGGAATAAAAGCCTAAGTCGATGGATATTAATAAACAAAAATAAAAGTTTCGAAACTTATTCTATGTAATTCCATATATGTACTTGGAATAAAAGCCTAAGTCGATGGATATTAATAAACAAAAATAAAAGTTTTGAAACTTATTCTATGTAATTCCATATATGTATGCAAGTCTGTAATGAAATCGATAATATTATATTGAATAAAATCTCCGAAAAGTAACAATGGATTGCTTGTAAGTCCATTCTATGATTAAATTGTACAAATATTAAATTGTTCATGAAATTGCAGATGAATGTGTGAAGTAGATATTTTCAGTGGCAATTCTTATTTGATTTCATGTCATTTAGTAGCCAAGTTAGCTTCCATAGTCATGATTTCCCTAAAATATTATTTTCGGTACCTATTTAATGACGCGACAAGCGCAAATTTTTAGAAAAAAAAATTAAATTAAAATGGATAAGCTTTGATGCATATTGAAATATCACATAAAAAAAAAATTGAAATATTACACAAGAAAAATAAAATAAAATATTGAAATATCACACTCAACAAGTCAATAAGAGATTTCAATGCAAATGAATACACTACAAAAAAATCTAGAATGATTGATAAATGTCATCACTAATCTGCAGCTAAATTGCTCATAACTAACAATATTATTTTTGGTAATTCATAGCTAGATAGAATTAGCGATGAGTTTTGCTATTTGGTTAAAGAATATATTTGTCTGTCAACAATTTCCTATTTTTAGTAGTGATAGTGAACTACAAAATTAGCTAAGGATTAGAAGTTTTCTGAGTACAAAAATTATGTGTATTATGCCACTAGAAACACAAGAACATTATATTAGTAATTGATGGCAGAATTAGGGTGTGGCAGAATGGGTAATTTATATGGGTATCTATTCATATTTATTCATTTTAAATAGGTTGGGTACCAACTCATCTAAAATAGGTAAAAGAAAAGGAATAATACTCATATTACTCATTTTAAAATGGATAGTTAAATGAGTAAAATAGATAAAAGATGTTCTCATAAAAGAAAAGAAAGAAAAATGGTAGGGGGATGCGGTGGTAAAAAAACTTTTTGGCATTTTTTTTTGGGGATAGGAAGGCGTGGGGTGGGTATAGTAGGGGGGAGAGGGGGTGGTAGGTTGGGTGACAAAAAAACCTTTAGAATTTTTTTGTTTTTTTATAAAAGAAACAAACTAACTTTTTCTTTACACTTTTTTGGGATGGGGGATGGAGCTGGTAGAAGGTGGAGTGATAAAAAAGATTTTGTTTCTAAAGCTTTTAACAATATCCCTACTATAATATGGGTACCCATATTTACCCATATTATCTATTGGATAACTCGTTTTTACCCATTTAAAATAGGGAAACTTTTGCAGGTAGCCACTATAATAAACTTAATTATACTTCATAGCTATATTTTGCATATTTACGGGTTGTAGCTACAGTTTAAGTTGTCTCATTTGTATAATTCGCAGGTTTGTATAATTTGCGGTTACATTTGTATAATTCAGTTATTTTTGTATAAACACGAAATAACAAATTTATACAATGACTAATATTAGAAGTGTAAACAGTTATACAAATTATATTATACAAATTCCGAATATACAAAAGTTATACAAATTACGAATATACAAAAGTTATACAAATTATATTATACAAATTCCGAATTATACAAACGTGAGAATTATACAAAACTAAAAAGTTGAGCCGTGTAATGAAGCTCTGTCATGTCCTATCTAATAAATTCTCCCAAATACTTTTTTCGGTCTACCACTACCCCTCCACGTACCCTTTACATCCAACCTATGCACCTCATCATTGGTGCGTCTCCTCTACACATGCCTAAAGCTTCTCAATATTGCTACCTCATCTTGTCTGCCATAGAGGTCACTCTCACTTGAATGACCTAATTTCTAATCTTGTCACTCCTTGTATGCCCACACATCTACCATAACATCTTGATCTCCGCAACATACATTTTCTAAACATGGTCTTGACTGGACAACACTCCACCCAATACAAGAAGGATAGTCTAACCACCACTCTGTAGAACTTTCTTTTAAGTGTAGGTGGTACCTTCTTATCACACAAGACTCCGAAGGCAAGCCTTCATTACATGATACCACTCGAACCAAATACAAATATTAGTACAAAAACTAAATAATTAATGAGTAACAATATAACTAGCCAAATAGAAATATCAACCTGTAATATCCATATACTTTGGTTTAAGTAGATTTTGAGTTAGAATTCCTTTTGTATTTACTTAATTTTAGTATTCTACTTTTTTTTTTTATTTGGCCTACGAGTTGGTCCAACCCACATTAATTGGTCAAGCCCCACGAACTAGTGGATTTGCTCGGGCCAGGCTAAAAAAAATTCAATTCTTAAATGGGCTCCAAAAATCTTAGTTCAACTTTATGAAATCACGGATTAAGCACGGCTCTAACCAACATGGACCACTATTGAGGTATTGTTGAAGAAAAATCTTAACCATCTTTGTAAAGTTTGTTCATGAAGGAGGTATACTGATATATGTGATCTTCCATTCATCTTCTAACATCTTATTCATCATTAATGAATCAGTTAATTATGTGTAAGTACATAGACACGAGGCCTAATTAAGTATAGGCAGAAAAAAGTAAAAAATTTACTATAATCTAGAGCCTAGAAATATTGGCATTGCCTATAAAAGGGCAAGGATCTCATGTAATGATGAACCACACACTTGTTATTATAACTTTGTGATATATCATATCATAGAAGAAAAATGAGCCTCAAAGGAAAGTTGGTTTCTGAGATAAACGTCAAGTGTGATGGAGATATTTTTTATGAAGTATATAGGCACAGGCCACACCATATCTCTAGCATGTCCCCTGATAACATACAATATGTGGATGTTCATGAAGGTGAATGGGGCACCGTTGGCTCTGTTAATTATTGGAACTTCATCCATGGTAAACCTTTATTATATTTGGTTTCATCAATATTTGTATCTTTCGTGCCCTGTCACAAAATACCATTTTGTTGTGGTGTTTCAACACAAGTGAGGTGTCTCACTATGCACTCTCTATAGCGCAAGTTATTAAATTTTGAGTTGCAAAATTCCAAGTTATTGTTAGTTCAAAGACATTTAAATTTTCTTCAACCTGTCTCTCAATTATCATCGTCTTTCATTTAACAAATGTTGAAAATGATTCATTTTTTGTTTTTAGAAAATAAAATAAGCCCTTGTCATTTTTGAGTAATCGTTAATCAAAGTTATAAAGTACCTTGCACTACTTTCGGAGGAAATTTTGTATGAACCCCACAAGTCTGAATGTATATAATCTAACTTTTCTTTGATCATGTGCTCTGCCTTCTTATTAAACTTCACCCTTGTTTGCTTATCAAACATACAATTCTCACAAAATTTCAAAGCTTGATTTCTGTAACCATCCAAAAAATTATGCTTGTTCAACAAAGACAATGATCATATGACCAAGTCGCAAGTGCCACAATTGAAACTAATTCACCACACTCTTCCTAGAAGCGATAAGTATTTCCCCTTCAACTATACTGGATTGAAGATAATACCGTCAATAATGAAGCTTACCCTTCATGAGTTTCATGGAGATCTTACACACTTGATCATCCAAAGTCGAAAGAGAAATCAATTTTCCCTTCATTTGAGGAAAATGTCAGCATTTAATATATATTTCTGATAATGCATAAAATATATTTGTTGTATTCTTCCCCTACTCACAATACCTTCACCCTTAGTGCTATCCGAAAAGCTCATATTCAACTCATTAGATTTTAGTGCAATACTAACATCATCAAGTGAGATATTGTCTGCTTTGTCTCATTCTTTCGACTTTTCTGAAAGGTCTCCTCTGACTTTCGAGGGCTGGCGCTCCACGCCTTGCAGAGCGCCAAGGACGCCAAGTTTCCCCTATTCTTCCATGCTTTCTCATGCATGTTCCTAGGTGTTATACCTATGTTCCCTAGTTGTTTCCAACACCCCAAAGTGTTTCTAAACATCCCGAACTCATCCATATACGTGTGATCATATACCTTGAATCCATAGTTCAATTCAAGGCAAGTTAGTATCAAGTTAAAGAGAAGTTAGAGTCAAGTCAAGCTATGTTAAGAAGTAAGTTCAAGCAAGTTTTCCAAGCTTTTCAAGAGTCTTCATTTAACGTTTTAACTTCATTTTTAGACTCAACTTTCAAGTCAAGCAAAGAGCTTAGAGTTTCAAGCTAAGTAAAGAGTTTCAAGACTCAAGTTAAGTCAAGAGTGTAAGTTGAGTTCATTTCTCAAAAGCTATTAGGGAACTATGTATTCCCAAAGAAGTTTCTAAATGTTTTTACATTTGAGTAAGAAAGGAACTATGATTCCAAAAGAGCCTTAGGGATAGTTTTCAAGAAAAAGGAACATTGTTTCCAAGTGAACCTTTGGGCTAGATTTTGAGTAATTATCTCATTTAAAAGAAAGATGTGTTTAAAACACTTATGAGCTAAAAGCATTTTGGGAGTAGCATCGAGCACCGATTTGGGGACGCGAGTTCATATTAAACTCAACTCTCCATAAGAACCATGTAGCCAACATGGGAGTTAACGGGTCATACTTTTTAGATGAACCCGTAAAGTTAAGCTAGTGGATCCACTTAGTAAAGTTAGCTTCCTATATCAAGACCAGGTATAGGATGGT